GCGTGTGAGCTTGGAGAATACGTAGTGGTCAATCTTAGACGGATACATTGTTATCTACTTCTAATGTGGTGTTTGGAAAAGTTTCTAAGAGTTTTCTAGCACCCATTCATCCTTCCCTGAGATTTAGTTATTGCAAAGCGAATATACTCCGGAATTTATTTACAATTATATAACTTGAATCAATAGAGCTCCATAATGCTGATAATCAAACTTCCAAAGAGTTTTTTTTTAAAGACTGCGCGTATTCGTTTTCAATTGTATCGTACAGTTTTCTCTCAATCCCTACATCCCTTTCAGATGAAAACTTGTTCAGATTCAACAGAACCTCATATGCGAATTTATTATTAACTGCCTTTGAGCAAATCTATTCTGCAAATACGTTCAACTGCAATCGCTAATATTCGCGTTATGTTGGTGAATTTCCGGAGAGTAGGCAGTGGCGGCTGGGCCTTCTAACAGGGTTTAATGATGGGCGAAATTTTATTCACGTCTGAAAAGAGAAGCAATCTCGTGGATTACTTGAAAAGAGTCCACCATTCCATGCCACTTTTTGGGATTCCCCGAAAATTTTGGCAATTGAAGCTTTTGGCAATTTGGCAATATCCAGAACTAGCAAATGAAGGACTAGGGCTTAAGCGGCTTGAGCATTTGAGAACCCATGAATTGTATTGAAATTATCCAACTTTCGTGCTCAAGCTGCATAACCAATGGGTGAACCTGTATTTCGGATTTTCAAATCTCAACAGTCAATACCTCTTTACAATTTTAGATTTTCTCCACTTCGTCGTTCAGAAATTAGAGAAAAATTTCTTTAATCGATTCCACTCAAGAGTTTTTCTTTATCTTTCAATTTCGTAAGAATTTTGTCAAACATTAAAACGGGTAGAAACTTCCTCTTCTAAAAGGATCCTGTGCTTCCGAAAACCGTTTATTGTTACATGTGCCCGATATCCTCTCTCGAATTCTTTTTAGCCTGAAACGGGATTCCTTGAGAAGGGTCGCGAGGGGTACTTCGGAAACTGTGGCGCTTTCACCTGAGTTTGCCATTAGGCGCAAGCAAACAAGAAATATAAACACAAACAGAGAGCTAATTCCGAAGAGTCGAGAAATATCACGAGATTCATGAAAAATAGATATCAAAATCCGTCTCGGTGGACCATTTAGAGATTTACCTGCCAGGAATCACTACTAAGATGTAAATAGTTAAGATCTATTTACTTGGCAGGTTAAATTACCATATACGGTTCACATTCGTCTTGAGATCAAATTCTATATCAAAGTCAGAGGATGTATAATTTACTTTATTCGAATTTATATGCAAGATAAAGTATAAACATCAGCGAATATAATGACATAAACAACCACGAATTATTAATCGAGAGAAGAATTAACATCCAGAGAGAAGAAATAACGTAAGAATTTTAAAACGAACTCACTCGTCCATCAAGGTTCTTGATTAGTATTATTTTTAAATTGTTCTTTACGTGAATTGTTCGCATCTATCTCCTTCACGTGACTGTTCGTTCGCATCGATATCGTGAGTTCTTTTGAGTTTTTGAGATATAATTCACGTCGTTCACGTCGTCGTCGTTCGTAAGCAAGAAATCTTCTTTTCAACTGAATTCGATCAACAACCACAACAACTATATACAAAAGAAAGAGAGAAAGAGAAAGAGAGAGAGAGAGAGAGAGAGAGAGAGAGAGAGAGAGAGAGAGAGAGAGAGAGAGAGAGAGAGAGAGAGAGAGAGAGAGAGAGAGAGAGAGAGAGAGAGAGAGAGCGAGAGAGAGAGAGAGAGAGAGAGAGAGAGAGAGAGAGAGAGAGAGAGAGAGAGAGAGAGAGAGAGAGAGAGAGAGATAGGAAGGAGCGCTCACAATTTCCTACAAAATATGCAAGTGGATACAACAATAGATACAACCACTTCAAGTATGTTTTAATATGATGACAGTGAAAATGTAAGTGGATCTTGTGCCATTCAAAATTCAAGTGTGCTGTTGGACAAAATAGTGGACAAAAATGACTTTCAAAACACAACTAATACATAATAAGTAATATACTAGAGTTATATATCTAATTTTCAATTAATTTACAACTTCCTTTTAGTCTGACCTTTTTCTTTTATCACAGCATTGCAAAAAGAATCAAGCCTGGACACTAGAGTACCAGTTTTTGAATGTCACACAAAGTTCATGTTTCCATAACGTATGCACCCTTAACTGAACAATGGTGATTTTCTGACCCCTTCTCCCTTTGCAAAGGTTTAGGTATATGTCACTTTTTGTAATTCACTATCTCTCCTTCATACAAGCAGGCCTGTTATAAAAACTGTACTCACTAGCTCAGAAAACATTTTGAGAACATATACTTTTATACCTCCTTCACTTTATCAAACAAAATCATATGCTTCAGAGAACTTACACCCTATGCCTTTTGAATGTAGATATGTTATAAATGCCCCAAGTTTAAAAAGAATATATGAGGCTAAATTTTGCATTTGAAAAATGATAAATTTAATAATCAACTGCAAAAAAAATCACTAAAATTAACGTGCACATTTGTTTAATCATACTTTTTCCTTGTGTGATGTTATCCATTTGAACATGGCATGCATATCAAAATCTGCAAGAAGACTATCTTTAATAACAGAAAAATTTTGGTATTTTCTTCCTGGAGTGCAAATAAAGGCCTTGTTTGTAACCAACTCAGATACAAGTTTCTTCAAGTCAGCTTTCTGTGACCTTTGCCGATGCTTCCCTGATCAGGCCTTGAAGTTTGTCATGTTGTCAAAATTTGCTATGGCATTTTGGTTTACTTCGAGGGCTTTACAATATCGATCTAGGGCCTTTGGGCTGCTAGCATTTGGTCCAAGATTACGCATGAATGTTTCAATCAAACGATTATGGTGTTCAAGAGCAAGATCCAAAGGAATATTCCCACCTCGTCCACTTTTCCTTTTGCAAAAGGGATGCCATACAAGCTGATGAGCAGCCTTAGGTGAAAGGAGTGCATTTACTTGGCAGATCATAAAAAAGGCTTCAAGTGCATACTTGGTACTTCCACTACCATCATTGTGGAAGTAAAAAAGAAAAAACTTCCAACAATGAAGTACTCTAGCACCATCAGCTTCTGACATGGTATCGTAGAATTCTGGATCAGCAACCCAATTTGTAGCATGGCATTTTGATATGTCATCATTAGAACCACATAACCGATTCACTTTCTCAGGACATGGTATGCCATGACTTGCCTCATGATCACGTCTTGCTTTGCCATCATACTTGTATGTTCTTTTGCACACTGGGAAACGGCATTCAAATATACTATGTGCAGCCTGAGACACATCAATTTGCGAGGATTCCTGCTTTTTTATCAACTCATCCACTTTGGATGCTCTTAGGACCAATTCGTCAACAATTTTAATTGCAATCTCCTCCAGGTATTTCCTTATTTCTATTCTTTTACTGTTTTCATTAACAGGCAATAAGCAGGTTTCCCATCTATTGATGACATCTCAAGGATGTGCAAAGCAGATGGAACAACACGAGCCTTAATTGCTATTGCAAGAAATCTCTTGCAAGGATTCACATGGTGCTTAACATCAGATGAAACATTTCTTCTGTCAATAAGGTTTCGGTCCTATACAAAGTGCACTTGTCTTTTGCAGATGTAGGGTGGTAAAAGGCACTGAATATGAGCTAGAAGTATAAGAAAGTTTTAAGAAATTTGTTTGCATAAAAATTATCAAGCAAATTATCTACATTTTTAATCACAATAATTAAAAGTCGCATAAAAGCATAGATCACCTCTGCTTTCATATTTTGTTTCTCTTTAAACAGAAGTTACTAGACAAATTTTTTTTAAGGATTTGAAGGTGAGGACTGTTTCCCTTTCCAAAGGTACATTGTGATAAGATAAAGTGATATTCAACAAAAATCTACTAAGAATTCTTTCATAAGCAGAATTCTAGGGCATTATAAATATAAAACCATCATCAAATTCAATACAATTCATAAACAGGGGAATCAAAATGGGAGTCCAAAATGATTCCTCTAGATATTCACGATTAGGTTTCTATAAAGGGTTGGCCACCATAAAATTAACCACAAAACCATTCAATCTAATTGATAAGAACTAGAGTGATTTATTATGAAAAAGTTATTCAGTTTGGTTAAAATTAAAGGATCACCTTTTTCTACAATATAATTGAAAACTACCTCTAGAAATTTCATGCCACCATGAAAATCTGCAATTTTAAAATGCAATCCTTCCCTTCTTTCTTCTGCTTCAAAACCATTAGCTACATCCATCAGGCTGTTTATCCCTCTTTCAACAGTTAGCTGGTCTCCAACAACAGCTTGTTCAGAAAACGTTTTGTCATTATTCTCCAAAAAATAAGGGACATACTGGTGCACCTTTTCAATTATTTTTTGCATACCATCTTCTTTGTTTTGATTCTCATAAATAATGCCAAGGAATGTCTAGAAAGTAGTTAATAAATAATATCAAACATGTTCTTAACATCACACTATTGACAACATTTACCTTTAAAGAAGTATAAAATTGATTTTGTTATACTTGAAGGAATACAATTTTAATGCTGGAGGAAATACTAGTCTAAAAATGGCCTAATAATTCACAAACAAGATTGCAATGTTGTGTTGATCCAGGGGCCCTGCCATGAAATTCTACCATGTAACAATATACTTCCCTGTAATGTAATAATGACAGGCAATAGTTACTTATACATTAAGAAAGCTTTGGGAGAAAATGCTAGAACTATAAATAAATCTACATCTTAAATCTCATATTTATACTTTTTGTGGTGCCTTTGAAACTTCTGCAATGACATTTATAAATGAGATGGTTGTACCCTGTTTGTCCCCCTCCCCTACTTCTGACCTGCTTTCTACATCACTGCCAAAAGTCATAAATGATAAAGATATTTATGAAGCTTCAAAATAAATTGCTTTTTGTCCAAATGATTAATTTTACAACCGTACATTTATGATAAACTCTTTCTTCTATATATGATGAACATTACACTTACTGTCTTTGTCTATTGCTTCATCTCTGATGAATAACGATGACTTATATGCCAAGTTACTACATCTTGTAGGAATTCAAGACAGGGTATCTCTTCTGTAATGTATCTTGAAACCAGTTGGACATAGTCATTCCTTTGCACGTGATGTTCCATTTTGTTTGGAATGAAAACGCCATTCTCCAATTTCATGAGGTTGCTTAATGGTTGTAGGTCTGTCAAGTGGTTCCCTGGAACTCTATTTTCTGTCCAAAAAGCTGCAAAAGTGGAGGTCTGGGTCCTTGAAATCTTCAGTCATTAAGTGGGTGTGCTAGTGATAATCAATATTATCTAAAACAATTTTGCGTCCACTGTCTGGCAGATAATGAGGGGTAGGAGTTGTGGCGTGCTTGTTTGGGACTATCACTCTCTCCTTTTCTTCTGGATTTATTGATTTATTTTGACACTGCAATCTGTCACATTCTTTTTTTAGTGTTTCTTTTATAAAAGCATCATGAACCTTACCAAACTGATCCAGCTTATGATAAAAATGTGTATGGGGTGGTGCAAGGCGTAGTGACTTAAGCCTTCCTTGTAGACCCTACAAAAAGACATCATCTAAGAAGATAGTTGACAGTACACAATCAAAATAACAAAGAATGCTGAAAAATTATTAAAAAAATTGTTTTAATCTAGTTTAAATATGAAGGGTTCAAATATGGCGAGAGATGGTACCAATACCATATTCAATGCTTTTCCTTGTACAGTAAAGCTAATAACCTTTGAAATAGCTAGAACCTGCTGTAAACCCAATAGATGTTTACACAATTCAAAACAAAATCATACCATCACTTGTTTAAAATTAAATAACGTTGTAAACATACCATGAATCCAGAATGCTGAATAAGTATTGACAGCATTAGCTGAAAGGCATTCATGTTTTGGGAACGATTTTGAAGGAGCACACAATTAGCAACCCCAACAGCATTTATCCAGTTAACATCATTTCCTTGCTATTCTGGACAAATTGATGCTCCTATTAATAGGGTTTTCAAAACTGGTGCAGACTCATCAAGCTCTTTCATCAAACTTTCGAAAGAGAATCCCACAATATCATCTGGGTTTGTCTTTCTTAAGCAGCTTGGCTTTGATTTTCTGCATAGTTGCAGGGCTTCTCTATTTATCTCTTTAAGCACTTCTTACAGTAAATGCTTGCGAAGTGCAGGGCTCTTCCAAGCAGCACGAGCAATTTGGTTTCCTCTACCTCTGCATAACATTTTGCCATTTTGCATAACGTTTTTGAAGGCCATTCAACAGTAACATTTACTTTAACCTTCTTTTCACCGCTTCCATCGATTTTTTTTCTAGCTTTGACTTTACTGGTGTACTTGTGAAAAATGACCCAGGGCCTGATGCTTCCTTTTTACTGACGGCTGGCGTTTTTCTTTCTTTAGGAATAGGTGACAGAGAAAGTATATTTTGTAACTGATCATTATTTTGAACTTCCACTTCTTGGTCAAAAATGTTGAGAGAGTCGTCAATATTTTGCCGCTTAGTTGGGCATTTCAGTTTAAAAGACCAATTAATCATGTGTCAATTTCGCGAAAGTGTTCTTGTAGCGATTTCCGTTTTTTCAGCAAAGCGAGGCACTTCTTGCAAATGTAATCTGACGACTCAGACACCTCGAAAAGAAGCTTACGAAGCTCGGTTCTTGCTTGCGCTTTACCATCTACATAATTTTGATCGGCTGGGGTTAAAATCCCAGTGCATAAAATGCAGGAATCCGTGAAGTATTTTATCAGCACATTGTAACTGCATGGCTGGCCTTGGAGAATCATGGCTGGCCAGGCACCAATTTTTTTTTGAAGCCATAAGTTCCCAAAGCAAATTTTGTTTAACAGATGATGGACAAGAGACCAGATTAAAGAGGACATCCATACTTCTATCAAGTTCAAGCTCAAATGTTTTGGACAAACAGGCGGTATTGTGACCTCTTTATCTGGACTGAAAAAGATTGGTTTCTGGAAAGAATCACATTTGAATCAAAATTTATTGATGAATGCATTGTGAAATCTAGATGTATATTTTTCAATTCAGTCATGGTAGAACTACTTGGGAAATTTTACTAAAGACCAAGAACCCCTGTACCCAAGGTATCTCTGTCACAAGATAATGAATCTCCCAGGGACACATTTTGTTACTGTGAAGGCCCAGAAAAGGGCACCATGATTGCATGTGACAATGAACACTGCCCATATGAATGGTTTCATATGGAATGTTTAGAGCTCGTAGAAGCACCCAAAAGAAAAAAATGGTTTTGTCCAGACTGTTCCTTGTCAAAAGAACTTAACAATTTTACAAGGAAAAAGGCAATCAAATGGTATAACAGATGGACACCAGTTGCAAAGTGCTGCACAAACAGTTGCAATTTTGTCAATAGTACATAAACTGTTATTTAATCATATAATCTAGTGGAAGTGTTGATTGTAAAATGCTATATTTGTTGCGAAGCAGGTATATAACACGTTCAAAATGAATTCTTATGGATGCAATTCTCCTGCGGTACTCAACATCCATTGCAGATAATTGCTTTTTTCCCCTCGTAAAAGCAGGCAATTTAACTTCAGCATAGTAAAATCCAACTGATTCACTTATCAAAGCCACGATCAGCTAAAACAAAATCTCCTGGCAGTAGATTATCAAGCAAATTACAGTGTTCAGTGATGTATTTGTCGCTGGCTCTGCCACCCAGAGCATTTGAAATGAAGGAAATTACATCTTGTGGGCAGATGCCTATCAGAAATTTAGCTGTGTTGTGATGTTTATATGATGACCAAGTTTGAGCACGTGCTTTGAGATTTGTTGGACGATGTGTGAAGACTTCAAAACAATCTTGCAAGAAGACATGGGTGTTGTTTCGATAAGCTGTTCTCGTTCAGGCCATTTTATCATCTTCTGCAGTCTGCAAAATAAAATGTCTATCCATTTGTGGAATATTTTAGAGACTGTTGTGTATGACACATTAAATCTGTATTATATTCAAGTTGAGCCTCAATCTGCAGAGGGTAAGCACCATTTCTTGAAATGGCAAAGGTTTGAATTAGCATTAACTGTGATCACTGGTTTACAAAACTGAAACAATGTCTTTAGTAATGTTTTATTTGGAAGCCCTGAGTACAATAAGACTTTATCATCTGAGTCAAAGTAAGCTTCAGTGCCAAAAGCAAGATTAGCATTTGCTTTCCTCAACATATGCAATTATTTTTGCAATGCATGACATTCAGCCTGCAAAATTATAATGTCAGTTCCTGACATGTCTGTTTGGCTCTCTGCATTATAAATTGATTCTTCCACAAAATTGACTTCTTGTGTTCAGGGCCGGATCCAGCCTGTAGGGTGACAGTCGCAAAGAGGGGGGGGGGGGGGGGTCTCTGGCAAGATTCAGGATACAAGAGCTGATGATAAAGGACAAAATATAAATCAGGATACTGTCTCTGGCAAGATTCAGGATACAAAAGCTGATGATAAAAGAAAAAATATAAATCAGGATACTGTCTCTAGCAGTATTCAGGATACAAAAGCTGATGATAAAGGACAAAATATAAATCAGGATACTGTCTCTGGCAAGATTCAGGATACAAGAGCTGATGATAAAGGACAAAATATAAATCAGGAAACTGTCTCTGGCAAGATTCAGGATACAAGAGCTGATGATAAAGGACAAAATATAAATCAGGATACTGTCTCTGGCAAGATTCAGGATACAAAAGCTGATGATGAAGGACAAAATATAAATCAGGATACTGTCTCTGGCAAGATTCAGGATACAAGAGTGGATGATAAAGGACAAAATATAAATCAGGAAACTGTCTCTGGCAATATTCAGGATACAAGAGCTGATGATAAAGGACAAAATATAAATCAGGATACTGTCTCTGGCAAGATTCAGGATACAAGAGCTGATGATAAAGGACAAAATATAAATCAGGATACTGTCTCTGGCAAGATTCAGGATACAAAAGCTGATGATAAAGGACAAAATATAAATCAGGATACTGTCTCTGGCAAGATTCAGGATACAAAAGCTGATGATAAAGGACAAAATATAAATCAGGATACTGTCCTCTAGCAAGTTATTCGGATACAAAAGTGATGATAAACTGGACAAAATATAAATAGGATACTGTCTTGGCCAAGATTCAGGATACAAGAGCTGATATAAAGGACAAAATTAAATCAGGATAACTGTCTCTGGCAAGATTCAGGATACAAGAGCTGATGATAAAGGACAAAATAGTAAATCAGGATACTGTCTCTGGCAAGATTCAGGACATACAAAGCTGATGATGAAGGACAAAATATATAAATCAGGATACTTCTTGGCAAGATTCAGGAACAAGAGTGGATGAAAGGGACAAAATATAAATCGGAAACTGTCTCTGGCAATATTCAGGATATCGGTAGCACGCTTGACTCAACATGCTGGTAGTGAAGGTAAAAAGGACAAATATAAATCAGGATACTGTCTCTGGCAAGATTCAGGATACAAAGAGCTGATGATAAAAGGACAAATAATAAATCAGGATACTGTCTCTTGGCAAGAGTTCAGGATACAAGAGCTGATGAAAGGCAAAATATAAATCAGGATACTGTCTCTGGCAAGATTATGGATACATAAAGCTGATGATAAAGGACAAAAAGTATAAATTCGGATACTGTCTCTAGGCAATAGTTCAGGATACAAAAGCTGATGATATAAGGGCAAA